TCGTTTGAGCCCTCCTCATATATATATATATATATATATATATATATATATAATTCTTATATCTTGCAAATTAATTTTATAATATTGAAGTAAACTCAAATTTATATTTTTAAGACAGTATCAGAATTTATATTTTCATGTTTGAGTTGTCTAATTTTTTGTGTGAGAGAGTGTATTATAAATTTCATATCTTGGATAATATAATCAAATTGAAATATACAAATCAAGATAATCTTTATCTTATTAGTTGATTTTATATAACTGAGATACATAAATTCTTAAAAAATTTACCTAATTTAATTTGTACTAATGATTTAGATATTCAATTCATAAATTTAGGAGTCTAGGTATAATCAAGTAATTTTGAATCATTCCATGTAAATGATTTTTGTCAATATTTTATAAAACACATTCAAGAATTTTAGTTAGATATTATATGAAAATTAGTTTAGATGAGACATGATAATTTTAAATTATCTAATAATTCATCTGTGGTGTTTCTTGTTTTACCTTATATGTTAATGTTTCAACCTACAAATTGAAAGCAGATGCAACAAATTGGAAAGACCCGATTCTTATTAGACAATCATTAATGGAATCAATGAAAGGTTTCCCAGAAGAGGTAGTGGACATGATACGAAATTGCAAGTTGAGTGACTTGCACCTCACTGAGTTGAAGTATAGAGCACCGTGGGAATTGGTCTTTAACAACTTGAGGGATGGAACAGTAACAATTGCTGGTGACGCAATGCATGCGATGGGGCCATTCATTGCACAGGGTGGCTCAGCCTCCATTGAAGATGCCATTGTTATTGCTAAATGCTTGTCACAAAAGATGCACAATACTAAGAAAAAGGAAATTAACGTTAGAGTTGCAAAGGAAGCATTTGATGAATATGTGAAAGAAAGGAGAAGGAGACTCTTTTGGCTCTCTTTGCATTCATTTCTTATTGGGAAGAAGCTTGACACAAAATCATCCATAGTGAGATTTATTATCCATGCAATCGTGTCCGTTTTTTTTACAGACCCTAACTGGCATACTCACTATCATTGTGGAAATCTATGATTAAGAAGAACAAGGTTTAAATATTTGTGATTTCAAATAATCTTACGCACATAGCATTCTTGATTACTTCATTGGAAGGTTACACTTTACTCTTAAACGAACAATAATCAATTTATGGGGAAATTAGTTATTAGATGCCAATAACCCAATAAAAACTACGATGATTTATATTCATTTGTATATATAAATACTGAAATATTTTATGCACTTGACTTTTTCCCCTCAGATTTGTCTTTCACCCAACCCAAAACAGTTATAATTTTTTTATTATATATTTTATGACATCAGCTTAAATTTGTAAGTCGTTTTTTTTATAAATAAGATGTTTATATGAAGTTGAAAAATGAGTTTATGATTATTTTTTAATAATTTTTCCTATGATTTTTTATCTAAACAAAATTAAATATTTCAAAATCATTTTTTATCAAACTTATTCAAACAAAATTTGGTTTTGATTATATCGATTACAATAACAATCATATATATATATATATATATATATATATATATATATATA